GCCCCCTTACTTCCCCCCCCCTTACCAGCCCATCTACCCCCAGTCTCAGGACCCCTACTCCCACGTGAACGACCCGTACAGCCTCAACCCCCTCCATGCCCAGCCACAGCCCCAGCACCCAGGATGGCCGGGACAGAGRCAGAGCCAGGAGACGGGGCTGCTCCACACGCACCGCGGTTTGCCCCACCAGCTCTCGGGGCTCGACCCACGCAGGGACTACCGGCGGCACGACGACCTGCTGCACGGCCCGCACGGACTGGGCTCGGGGCTGGCTGACCTGCCCCTCCACTCCATCCCCCACGCCATCGAGGACGTGCCGGTAAGCCAAGGGGCCGCTCCGGGGCCCACTCGTCCTTCTTGCCGCGGGAGCTCAACGTCGGGGGTAAAGAGAGGGAGGGGAACCCGCCCCCCCAGGAAAAAAAAAAAAAAAAAGAAAAGAGGGAGGAAGAGAACTCCCGCCCCAGGGAAAAGTGAAGCCCCCACCTAGAACAAAAGGTTCTCGCAGCTCGTCCCTGCGCGATGCCTTTCCGCTAACTCACCCACTAAAATATAAATAAATCAAATTACTGTCATCGTTAACAATATCTTCCCTTCTCAATGACAATAAGCTGTTACGATTGGAAGAATATATAATATCACCACAGGGCCGTGCATTTGGGGATTTCTTACTGCCTTGGGAAAGACACGAGTCTAAAATGCCTGTGAGGACATTTAACGAGATCTCGCAAATGTAAGGGGGGAGGGGAGTGGGTGAAAGTGGCCTAAGAAGGAAAAATTTGTTTCCCATGATTAGACGATTGGCATATGGGATAACCACATCCAAAGTTATAAGAGGGTATAGGCAGATCCTCTTCTCTAAAGGAATTAATTGACAAATCAGGGAAGAGGTATACACTAAAATGCTGCCACCTTCTTTTAGTAGCGGTGCTAAGGGATGACCTCATAAATGATTACCTATAGRTTATCGAATTCGAGTCAGACCTGCTGCACCCTATTTTAAATGAAATGTTGGGAGCCTATTGGAGGATGTATTATTTGGGGGATATAATTCTGTTATTGATGAGTACAGACTTTGAAAATTATTTCTAATTAAGCATGACATTAGTGCACAGGCTACTTACAAAGCAAGCCAGGGCTATTGTTCAGTTAGGAAAGTGGCCTTATGCAACATGATAGGTCGTGATCAAAGTTCATCTTTCTAAGTTTCTCCCTGAAAATGGAATTAGAACATGGCAATAAATTTATTAAAGCCCACAGAGCTCATGCTGAGGGGCTGAAGCTGCTCGACTTGCAGGAGGAAAGAGGAGGAGGAAACTGTGGTATCTGGATGTGATTTTTGCTGAAATGCCATCCCAAATTACAGGATCAAATATTACAACAATATATTCGCTGACAGTTTAATGAGTACAGTTTCATGTTGCAAGGATAATGCTCAGATGAACTTACCTATTTTTGGGGGTCATTTTGAAATCTTTTGTAAATTATACTTGGGGAAAATAGTGAATTTATTACAGCCCTCCTCTGGCTAAATTAGCCACAGAAAATTGCTGGTTGTGTTTAGCAGTTTTGCAATAAACGCATACGTTTTCCAAAGTGGAGGATTTAGTAAGCAATTTGGATCCGTTAAAAGCAGGTCGATTCTCTAAACTTGATATAAAATAACATGGAGGCAATCGTAAGAATAAACTAATTTGTTGACTGCAAGCCCCTGATTGCTGTAGGAAGAACATGACCTAAAATGTTCTCTTGAATTCTCCCTCTCCTCTGTTGTGCTCAGTGGGCTGACTTGGGAAGCCTCCTCTGCAGATCTATGAATTAACAGCATTGCTATACTTTGTGAAAACCAAATACCATCTGGTTTAAATCCTTGAGCCAGCCTAGCCATTTTTTTTCTCCATAGGACTGAATCGGCAGGCTCATGAAGGAAAGTAGGAAATAATAGGGTGCATCTTTTAAGAGTATTCTCTCTAGTTAAAAAAAAAACAAACCAAAAACCAAAAAAACAAACAAAAAAAAAAGCAAAACAGCAAAAAACAAACCCTTTACAGAAATCTGAATCAAGAGGGTAATTTTTTAAATTTTTCCACTGCTGCAACAGTTAACCTTTATTAAAAACAACTGCTAAATATTTAAGGAAGTCAAGTAGATGGTGAAAATTATTTAATCATAAATATCTCTGTGGGATTTTAAACTTAACAGTCCTCCCTGTACGGAATATGTGTAGAAATAACACAAATAAAAGTATTATGCCACACTACATTTACTTTATGGGTTTAGGGTGCATGCATAAAGGGATCATATTTCCCCATATAGTTAAAACACAAGAACTGCAGCAGTAGTCATTTCTGAACATTTCTCAATTTAATTATACTTAAATCCAGAAGCACTTTAGGCAAGTTACAAATGAGAGCATTGAGTATAATAAAACCTGTAATAAAGCAACTTAGTACCATCCACCCGGAATCATTGAGATCAGGCACAATTAACAGGAGCATAAATCCAAGACAGAATGGAAAATGTTAGAATCAGTATTATTGTTGGACAAAGACTAGAGAAGGAAGTAATAGTTTTTTAAATGGTAATGCCTGGGTTTTGTAACGATTGCGAAATCTTCTATCTCAGCAGCACTGGTGTTAATTTGTAAACACAGCCAGACATTATATTGCCTGTCAGTTTTTGGAATTAGAAAACATGATTTCATTTGACTTTCTAATCACGTCGTGACTCCACCGCGCGAATCCCAGCTGTAGCCGCGACCGCGGAACCTGCGAGGGGACAATAGTGGGGAGCCCGGGGCCGCGCGGGATGCGCAGCCCCTCCCGGCCCCGCACCGATCCGCGCTCCTTTGTGCTTTCCCTCCCGCGGGCGCGGGAGCGGGCTCAGCGGCGGGGAAGGGCTGGGCCGGGCCGGGGCTGCTTCCCGAGGAGGAGGGAAGGGACGGGAGGAGGGACCCCTCAGAAGCTTAAGGCCACTCCGGCCCCGGGGGGTATGTGAGTGATTTATTGTATTTTTCTTGGGGATCGGGGGAAGAGCTGGGAGTGATACAGGATTCCTCTTCCTAATCTCATTCCTCCCTCCCCTCCATGAAGGATCTGTTGTTTTTCGTCCCTACATGGTGCCCGGGTAGTGGGGGGGACACACAACTTATCCCGCACCCCATCCCACCTCGGCCTTCCCTGCCTTTTGTTGTGGTTGTACATTGACATCCCTGCCTGTTCCTTTTGTTGCAGCACGTAGAAGACCCCGGYATTAACATCCCAGATCAAACTGTAATTAAGAAAGGTAAGCCGTTTCCTTGTGCATACCAAACATGTCATCACAGGCCGGGGACTGCTCGTAGGGAGGACTTACCCGGCCTCCCCSCTCTCCCCTCCAGTCCCCCGGTCCCGGGCTCCGTCTTCTGGCATGTACAGTTGGCCAAAAGATTGGAAGCAAAGAAAAAATGGGCGATGTGGGTTGAAATACGTCCTCTTAAATGGCCACGTTTCCCGCGTATTTTAATATTGTTGTTAACGAGGAAAAATGTTAGCAGATGATCTAGAAAATCCGAGCTGGTCTTTTAGTGCATTAGAGAACAATTGGGTTTCATGGTTTGTCTCATGCATCTGGCTCMGCGGAGGGCTTGAATCGTTGTTGCTAAATGGGGCTGTGAAAGTGAAATCGTTGTTCTCCCTCCTTCAGATTTTCTTATTTAAATCATGGTGGTGACGAGGTGGACTGGTGTAGAACAAGGGGCAGAGTTTCTGGAAACTCATGTCTGTCGGTTGTTAGGATGGTTTGGTTTTCGTTGGCTTTGTGCGCTCGCTTCACTTGAAATTGCTYGGAAACTGGTACCCAAATCGTGCAAAATATTTATTGCAAATTTTCACTCGATTTTCATTTCCTGTCTTTCTTCGGACAACCGAAGGGTTGGGGAAAAGTGGCACAGGGCATTTTGCAAGGCAGGTTTTCGGTGGAGATGGGTTTTGCGTTTGGATGTCGTGTAGTGGAGCTGGTGTTGGAGTAAAACTGGCAGGGTTGAAGGGGTAGCTAGCTCCTGCCTGCTCTGGGGAGTTCAATGGCTGCGTGTCTGCCTGGAATTTGGGTGCCCGTGCCACACACTGGAGAGAGGTGTTGAGTGGAGGCACTCTCCTCTCCAACCCTAATCGCTGTGCAGCCAGCGAACCTGAAGTTTCATACCCCCCCAACCCCGCCTGTAAAGCCTTTGTCACGTCAAATTAGATGTGCACGGGATAAATCTTAAGAGATGCTCTTTCCAAGTCGACATGATAATTGGCTCTTTTATTAGTAATCTCAAGAGTTCGTTTAACTCCTGTTGTATCTATTAGCCTTCCCAGAGCTATTAATGTCACAAGTGATCTATCCAAAACGGAGAGAGCCCCCTGCTTAGTTGGACCGCGCCCGCCAAGCGGAGCGGACTAAGGCAGAGGAGAAAGGGAAGGCGGCCGGGACCCGAGGCACCGTGCGGCGGCACGGCCCGGCACCTCCCCGCCAGCCGCCGCCGGGCAGGGATCGGGCTATATTTTGGGGTGCCGGTTCTTCGCTGAGTTACGGGTTTTCCACGTCTAAGCTTGTGCGCTGGCGGGGTGGCGGGGCCCCGGGGTTGCCGCCCATCCTGCCGGCCGCGCCGCTGCCCGGGCACTGCCCGCCGGACACGGGCGGTACGGACGTGCGGCACCCGGCAGCCTCGGCGCTCGACAGGGGGACCGCGGCGGGATGTTTTCAATTTCCCTGCTGCGGSTCGAGGGTTGTCCGGCTCTCTCCCAGTGCCTCCCGACGAGAGCGGGGAGGGGTGCCCCCGCCGTGTCCCCGCTGCCCCGCAGGTGGTGCGGGGCCGGGGCTGGCCGCAGCGAGCGGCTCGGGTGCTTCCCCCTCCCTCCCCGGCTCCCCGCCCGCTCCTCACCCTCACCTCCCTGCTCCTCCCTCCCTGCAGGCCCCGTGTCCCTCTCCAAGTCTAACAACAACGCCGTCTCCTCCATCCCCATCAACAAGGACGCGCTCTTCGGCGGGGTGGTAAATCCCAACGAGGTCTTCTGCTCGGTGCCGGGCCGCCTCTCGCTGCTCAGCTCCACCTCCAAGTACAAGGTCACGGTGGCGGAAGTGCAGAGACGCCTGTCGCCGCCCGAGTGCCTCAACGCCTCCCTGCTGGGCGGAGTGCTCCGGAGGTGAGGGGCGGGGGGAAGCGGGAGGCGGGATGCCGGGCCGCGCCGTGCGGGAGGGAGGGAGGGAGG